AATCCCGAAGCATTCATCCCCCGGTCCTGATCGAATACATTACGAGATGATCCCCCATTTATCGGAGGAGTCACTCTCAGCCCTCCTGACATATTTCAATGAACTATGGAACGATGCGCACTTCAACGCCGATGGGAAGCAGGCAGAAGTAATTCCGTTGCTGAAGCCTGAAAAGGATCCTTCACTTTCTACAAGTTACAGGCCGATTGCACTGACTAGTTGCTTGGGGAAAACGTCTGAAAGGATGATTAATAAGCGTCTTGTTTATTTCCTGGAGCTACACAATATTTTGAATGTAAATCGATGTGGGTGTCGATCAGGACGTTCCACCATAGACCATTTAGTCCGGCTGGAGACTGTTGTACGAGAGGCGTTTGTGAATAGGCAGCATTGCGTATCTGTCTTTTTTAATTTGGAAAAGGCTTTCGATACCACTTGGAGGCATGGCATCCTACGTGACTTCTTCATGTATGGAGTACGCGGCAGATTACTTCATTGCATAAAAAACTATCTTTGTGGACATTTCTTCCGTGTACGGTTAGGCGCGACAGTATCCAACAGCTTTCTCCAGGAGAATGGTGTTCCTCAGGGTGGAGTACCGAGTGTCACCTTCTTCGCCGTAAAAATTAACTCTCTTTGTCGTGTCATACCTTCCTCAGTATCATATTCATTATACGTAGATGACATTCAAATTTCTGTAGCATCATGTAATATGTCTAGCTGTGAAAGGCAGCTACAACTAGCCATAAATAAAATGACTATATGGGCTAACGAGAATGGTTTATAAGTTCTCTCGAGAAGAAAACTATTTGTGTTTCATTTTCTTTGCGGCGGGGTCTCTGGTTAGAGCCCTCTCTCATGTTAAATGGAAATGCCATCGAAGTTAGAACTGAGTATAAGTTTCTGGGAGTGATATTTGACGGTAAGCTTAGTTTTGTCTCCCGTCTCAAATGGCTAAAGCAGAAATGTATGCGGACATTGAACATTCTTAAAGTCCTCTCACACAAGTCTTGGGGTTCTGATAGGAGGTGTCTACTCCGTTTGTACTTCTCTCTTGTACGATTGCGCCTTGATTATGGGTCTGTTGTGTTCGCGTCTGCTCGGCCGTCTGCCTTTAAAATGCTTGACCCTGTGCATCACCTTGGGTTGCGTCTTGCGACGAGTGCTTCCAGAACATCTCCCATTTTAAGCTTGTATGCGGACTCCAATGAAATGTCACTTGAAAAAAGGCGGCAGTATATAAGTCTGGTTTATGCCTACAAGGTGTTATCAGAACCCGGCCATCCAACCCACAATAGTATTTGAGAGTCTATGTTTTATCGTACTTTCGAGCATAAACCAACTGTTATTCGACCCTTGAGCCTTCGTTTTGAGAGCTTTCGTCTCCCCCTTAACCTGCCACGTGAGGGTGTCCATTTCCTAAAAAGTGCATATCACACTGCCCCATGGGATATGAAACAAATAGCTTGCAATTGGTATTTTACAAAATTTAATAAACATAATGTTTCTCCACTCATTCTACAACAGGAATTCTTAGCTCTGCAAGAAAAATACAGACATTACCGCCAGTTTTATACTGAGGGTGCCAAGTCCTCAATGTATGTCGGTTCAGCTCTTTATTCAAATTCGTTTACCCATGTTACTCGACTTAACAATGTCGCCAGCATTTTTACTGCCGAACAATATGGTGTTCTGGCAGCACTTGACTGTATAATCAGGAGCAAAGTGATGAAAGCCATTATATTTGTAGACTCTCAAAGTGTTCTTACTGCAGTATGTTCTGTCACACCAACTACGAATAAGTTGACTCGACTTGTCCGGGCCAGGACTCAACAGGGACTCGCTGGTGGGAAGGACATTGAGTTTTGCTGGATCCTGAGCCATGTGGGCATCGCAGGCAACGAGGCTGCAGATAGACTAGCTGCTTCTTCACAGAACCTTTTACCATCGAATGTCTGCATACCTTACCAAGACCTTAAAGCGTCCGTAAAATTTTCACTCTCGCAACTATGGCAATCTGAATGGAAGTTAGCCGATAACAATAAGCTTCATGTCATCAAGCCAGAGCTTGGTGCATGGGAAACCTCGTATAATAAAAGTCGTTTCCACGAAATCCTCCTGTGCCGGCTGAGAATCGGCCACTCGTTCCTGACCCATCAATACCTGCTTATAGGTGAGGAACCGCCGATATGCGAGCACTGTGGAGAAGCTCTGTCTGTTCTGCATGTTCTCCTTTTTTGCCGTGGCCCTTTACAACAATACAAGACCTATTTCTCTGAGTTTTTCAAGTACAACATCCCATTTCACCCTGTCTTAATTCTAGGGGAGCAGCCTTTCATATCGCTTGAACGTCTTTTAGCTTTCCTCAAAACTACAGGTATCTTCCATAAACTATAGCCAAGTTCTAGTCTAGTGAGTGAACTTTTACCAATGTTTTTTAGCTTACCTAGTTTGGCGCAGTATGGCCGTCGGAGCTCTTGCGCTATAAAACCCGTAAACAACAACTAGTAAAGTCAAAGACTGTGCACTAGGATTTTGACGTCATCGCAGTGAAATCAAGCGAAAACTGATTGAATTCGAGTGCCGCTTTAGCCTAAGGTTTGACATCGTGTACATTCAACGCGTAGAATGACGTTCGGCAAGGGTCTATACGGTCCAATTGCGCCATCCGACTGGCGAAGTTGGCGCCATTCGACTGGGATGACGTTTCATGGAGGAATAGGACAATGCTCGCAGGCCCCGATTATTCTCGGTGGTGTTGACTTCGTAGACGCACTTCTATAAGAATCTGACATTGATGTCCCTGGTCGCGTGTCAACTTTTAGGCAGGACGACAAAGATATCATTATTCACATTGGCCACCGAATAAAGAAAAAAAAAAAAAAAACAAGGTTCTGGAAAAGTTCCGCAGCTATACGAGAGAGGCTAACGATTGCGCGTCTTGACAGTAAAGGCTGCCTGCCGTGTATATCAGCGAGCACTTTGGGGTATTTCCAAAAGAAACTTGCTTGGTACGACAATCGCGCAGAAATGTAAAGCTGCAGTCTCTCTTCTCGTACTGTCATATATGAACAAAAGACGCGGTGTTTGCTGCCAACATGACGACGGAAATATTTGCGGACTCTTCCCAAGCACGCTGGAAGCATGCTGCTTCATACATATATGTTTGCCTCCAACGTTTCTCCAGGCACCCAGGCAGCACGCCGACACTGGGCCAACATCGGGGGAATATTGCGCACAGTGTTGGCCTACTTTTATGTTTTTCACCACGGCCCAGTGTAGGGCCGATATCAGTTAACGATCGCTCCAAAAGTGGGCCAGAATAGGCAATATCATTCGAGTTCTGGGCAGAGCTGGACGAATATCGGTTAACATGGCCGCGGCCGCTGCGATGCCAGCGCTCAGCGGACTTGGGCCAAGCCAACGTTACTATAGAATTAACCGATCATTTGTAAGCAGTGAGAGGGTGCAGGCGAGCTGGTAATTAATCGACATCTTGTAAATCTTGAGATGGGGAACGATAATTTGTTTTGTTCGTCCGTTTTTTTATCGTTCCCCATCTCAGGGTTTACAACATGTCGATTACCCGATCAGTCGGGAAACTGCCATAGAGCCTGCTCTGAAAAAGTGGCACCAATCCGTACTTGAGAACCGAGGTAATAGCGATCGCCACGCCGCCATTTCTCCCGCACCGGCAACTCGAGGAACTGCACGTGACTTCTATTTGTGCTTTCATCGACCATTCTGGCTCCGAAACAGATGCGGTGGAAGGGGCTTCAAAGGTGCCACCTCTGACTCCCAAGCGGACGCGCCGCGAATTACAGCCGAAGTTAGGATGCGCCTTGGTCGGGACGCGCTACCTGAAATGACCGCTGAGACATGGTTGTATAAAAACAATATTAATTGTGCCGCAAACCTTGTAAACTAAAGATTAAAAAAAAAAAAAAACATCACGCGCCCCCTTGTTTTGTACTAATCTCCAATAAAGGTTACTACAAAAAAAGTTTTTTTTCCGTGTGTTTGTACGGAAAAACCCACTTGTAGCCGCTGATTGCCCGGCGCGTCCTTGGCGCGGCCCGTGGCAACAGCGGCGGCCGCCGCGATTGGCCGGCGCGATTGGCCGCAATTCACTATTGTTTTAGAAACGGTCAAGAATTCCTAATACCGGCGGATATAGCCGGTTCAGACCGACAACTTGCCGGAAAACGGCGCTGGATTCTGTATATCAGCGTGGCGTTGGCCGACCCAAGTGGTGTTCCGCCGAAATCGGCCACATCAAGGTAATACTGGCCCGATCTTTACGATCCAGCGCCAATATCGGCAGTAACAGAATGATATAAGCCCGATTTCTCCGATCCGACGCCAATATTTGCGAAATACTGTGTGCTGCCTGGGCAGTTACTTTGTGTGACCAGCGTGAACGCTATACAAGCAACAAACACGCCTCAGGCAGTGTCTGCAAATTGTCTTTTGCATGAACTGGTAGCATTGTGACCACGGCTTTGGAACCAAATCCGCTTACAAAAATAAACGAAAAATAAAAAAAAAAAATCCCCGGCCAGATTGAGGCCGATAAGGGGGAACCCCTATTAACAAGTTATGCACGTGAACAATGACTAGGTGAGGTCTTCGCCCCGAGCATTCATTTCGATAAACGTGCGGATCGTTGTGTACGCGCGAAATCGCAAATCAGAGGTTGCTAGAGATGACCTTTTGTTTAACATCCACAGACACAATAGGATAGGTCTTTTTGAATGGTCTCTGAACGTTAGCAGCTATGAAGTGGGTCGGTAAGTTTGCATCCTATATCGCCTGCCTCTTTGTGAAACCTTGTTTTGTGTCTCCTGCCCAAAAGCCGTATATAGTAATCGGGTATCTGAGCGCCTCGTGCTCTCTTGAGACGTATTACTGGACCCCAAGAAAGGGCTGCAACGCAAAGGCTTTGCAAGTGAGAGCAACGTTCGTGGCCGTCGTATATCCTCATCATTCTTTCCCCACAGTCCGCAAGAAGAAAGAACCTGCAGAAGTGCATCTGCTCGCCGAATGACTGAGCGCGCCAGTGATGGTGATGGTGCCGGCTGCGACAGCTGGCTCGAGTTTCGGAATATGAGGCTCGAAGAAGTCTGTCAGGTCGTGGACATCTGGGAGGAACAAGGCTTGGGTCAGGGCACGAACAACGTAAAGAACTTTTACCAGGTGGATCCAGAAGGCTTTTTCGTCGCCGCCGATACAAGGACAGGTGACTTCTCTCGCCTACTATCAGGGGTCAAAATCATCATCAAATGGAGTAAACCTTATATACTTAAATATATATACCATCTAAGTAAACCCCCGTTGACAATATCAGCTAAAGCAGCCGATCAGGTCGCACCCCAACAACAACATCGATGCCAGTGCTACCCACTCTCGCTTGAAGCAATTGGTGTACTTTTCGCGTTACGATGAGAGTTATAAGCATAAAAGCAACTGCTTATCAATCCACACCCCTGACGCTACTCTGATTTGTGTAATGCACATTAAACACCCCAGACTATATAGCAGTCTCACTGAGCTGGCGAAATTTTTTATCTACAGACACCCATTGGGGATGACAAACTTCATGTGACCTGAAGGTACACGCAACAAAAATGACCATATTTCATATCATTTTCACCAGATCTCGCCCTCGGGATACACCGGGGAACATTTTCTGGTCGCCTTCTGTGTACAACTGTACGCTTCTGTCAAACGCACTCTAAAGCGAGAATTAACTACACTAATTACAACGGCATAACGTTTTTCTTTTCTTTTTTTTCTTTTTTCAACGCGGTTACTTTATTAATACCTCTTAGTGATGACCACGCCACATATGACTATATTTTTGTTTGAATCATGATAATTCTGTCCGGCCGCTACTCAACCACAAGTCATAAATGTTGCCTTTCAATGGCTGGCTAACTGTCCTGCCCCGTATTCCTTCTCTCCAACAGGCGAAGTGGTGGCTACGTGCGCCTGTGTCCGCCTGACTCCTTCGCTCTTATTTATTGGCCAGTACGCGGTGCGCAAGAAGCTCCAGGGACGCGGCGTCGGACGCCGCCTCTGGAAGACCATGGAGAATCGCTGGGGTGACTGCAACGTGGGCATCGGCGCAGTACCCAAGTACTTCTTCATGTACCGGGACAAGGGGGGCTTGTCCCACGTCGAGTCCTGGGCAACCGTCATCTACAGGACGTCCACGGTGACACTGGAAAGGCTACCCACGCCGCCAGATGACCTTCGTGTGGTGCCTATCGACGAAACACTGATGCCGCAGGTTTGTAAGTCACGCTGTATCTAAGGACGCTTGCAGGTTGTTGCATCTTGACTCGAAGAGCACCCCCTTCTCAGCTACGCGTCCGGGAATCTGAGGAAGGTGTTTAGGTCCTCGAGTGCTCATAGAATTCGGATTTAGAGGTTAGTTCTCGCTCTCTTTCACCTGAACCAAAGAGAAGCGATGGGTAGTTCAGAGGAGGAAGAGGAGGACTGACGCCTGTCGATGGCGCGTAGAGTCGCCCCTTTATGTAGCTCGCACGTGACGTCTTAGTACAACGTTGGTGGTCATTCTTACTAATTATTCCAAAGAGAAACAGATTCAGTGATGCGATATGTATACTGCAGCAGATACGTGCTCAGCACTCTGGTGATTGCAATGTTCGCCAATAGGACGTCAATGGGGTGAGTATGGCAGCAAAGCACCCTTCAGTTGTTCCGTTAGCACGAGCTTTCTACCTTTGATAACGCTTCGGTATTTCGTGAGTTTCCAGCGTGCGCGCGCAGCTAAAGCACGGCGGAAGGCAACGAGCGCGTGTCGGAAACTGGGCATTCGAGAGACACGACCTGCCGTTTTGCTTCCCCCCCCCCCCCCTCCCTAAAATCCCCGAATTTCGGTCGTCCGTCTGTTTATGCATTTCCCGCGAACTTTAGAGTGCGAAACTGACGTCACGTGATCTATACACCAATTCAGTTTTCCCATTAAACCTAGCTGAAAAATTGATGCCAGATAACCTGTCACAAGCTCTATACACCTGTTCAGTTTCCCCTCACAATTTCGCAGGAAAGTCCATGTCACGTGACATGACGTTACGTGACCCATACACTAATCTCCCCTAGTTCACGTCACGTGACCTTACATCACTCGGCCTATGTACCGATTCAGTTCTTCGGCCTAATTTGTTGCGAAAATCGATGCCACGTGACTCAAGCATGCACCGTCTGTTTTCCCGTTAAATTGATAAAATATTCGATCTCTCTCTCGTCAGTTGAAACGTGGTGGCGCCAGCGTGCAAATAGCCCCCAACCTCTTGCGATTCTGAAGTAGACGGCAGGTTTCGCGGTATTTGCGAAAGCAAATATGCACGCTGTCTTCTGGAGATGGTCACTTATGGCACTTTCAAAACTTAACGTACTCTTATGGTAAACTAAGGACGAGTAAAAAATGACGACACTTACGAGAACCGGAGGTTCGCCAGGGGCTACCCAATAGACGGCGCCACTGAGTTTGTTGCCAAACAAGAAAAGGCGAGTAGGTTCTTCTTCACTCTCCGAAAAGACTGTAATATCTTCTAAAGAAATTTAAGCGATTGCTACTTAAATACCGCATTTCATGCATTATAGAACTCCGGAGAAAAAGATCGCTGTTAATATTTGTACACCATTTTGCTCTCAATTGCAGGTGATCGCCTACGACACTTTCCTACACGGTTACGACCGCGGAAAGATGATCCGCCTGACCATGGGCGACGAAAAAGGCATCTCGAGGGCTGTCGTGCAGCGGCAGGGCACTCACGACGTGGTGTGCGGTTTCGGCAAGATCAACAGTAACATTCCGCAAGGCGCCGTGGCGAGTCCCATCTACGCGCGGGACCGCGAAGTCGCCGCCGTGCTCCTAAGAGACCTTGTGAAAAACAAGCCGGAAGCCCGAGTCCTTCTCGCCATGTTTGTGCCGGACTGTAACCGGGACGCCTGCAGCCTTGCCGAAGACCTGGGCTTAAGGGAGTACATGAGAGTAGCACGCTGCTACCGCAAGGAAAGCGTATCCCTTCGGTTAGAGCTGGTCTACTCCCAACATGACTTAAACTTTTGCATCGCTTGATGGAATGCAGACGTCATTTTGGAAGACAACAAAGGCCGATAATTACAAAGTATACATTACACAATTTTTTATTCTTGCAATTTTTTTCTAGAACCTTGTATTAAGCGTTACTAACTTACGCGATTGCTTTTGCCATCTTTATGCCTGATACTAGAGATACTAAATCAAGCCATGGTGGTGAGGTCAGATTAACTTAGCTAATGTTCGTGCTCCCCTCGTCTTCTATAGTGTTCCCATGCACGTCAGAACTAACGAAATAGTCCCCCCGTCAAGGTTAATTCTTTCGCCTTTTTAATAAACTAGTGCCTCTCTTCCAATGCTTTTGTTTTGTTATAATGCCCAAGTTCCACTAGAGCGGCAAATAGAGACATGCGACACAGACGAGCCTCAAATACGTGCGGCGTGCAGCGGGTATCTTCGGTAGGCTTTTAATCACCGTCGTGCTTACTACACGAGCACCGAGTGACTACAAGCCTGCCAAAAGTACCCTCACGTTCGTGCTACGTGAACTTGAGTTTTGTAGGTGCGGTTTTTTTTACTTTATCGCTCCAGTGGGACGTTGGAAGTACTGAAACAATGACCTGCGTGTGCGTCTTCGTTCCCCACGTGATTCCTGAGCCCTCACTGAAACGTTCTTCGAGAAAGGCTTAGTCAACTTTCCGAAGGGAGGGGGCCGGTTAGGATGGTGACGACCGATAATGGTTTTCGCCCGATGGAAGTCCCACGGGAAGTTGAATTATAAAAAAAAAACTGAAAGCTGTTTGATCCTGCTGGACACATCACGACGTTGGCTGGTTTACGATGGCCATTGTGGTCACGTTTATTTCGAAACAAAACGGCAAGTCAACGGTAATATTTATTTATTTATTTCAATATCTTCGAAGCCACACGGCATTACAGAAGGGAGTGGGGGAAAAACAAAAGTACAAAAAATAGAATTCAACACATATTAGTTAACGTAATAGTTTTCAATGGCAGACTTGAATGCAGGAGCGTCTGTGATTGTGGCGATGGAGGTGGGCAGGTGGTTCCAGTCATTAGTAGTTCTTGGGATAAAAGAATAAAAAAAAGAGCTTCCTGCGACTGAAAGGAACGTTGACTTTATGGTGATGATCATTTCGATGGGATACATACGATGGTTCAGAAAAAAGCTCTTCACTTAGATGGTGGTTGTGATGTTTGTGAAATAAGGACAAACGAGATAATGTTCTACGCAGTGATAGATTCGGAAGATGTAAAGTTAGTTTGATGCATGATACACTGGAAAAACGTGAGAAATTAGACAAATTAAAACGGTGCGCCATGATTTTGTACGAATTCAATTTGATTAATTCGAAATTCATGGCCTGGGTCCCACACCGAACTCGCATACTCAAGCTTGGATCTAACGAGGGTCTTGTACAGTAGTAGTTCTAATGAAGTTGCGGCGTAAGTAACCTAGCATGCGATTAGCGTTGTTACCAATAAAATTAATGTGAGTTTGCCAGGAGAGGTCAGATGTTATATGGACACCTAGGTATTTGTACGATGTCACCTTTCAAGAGCTGAACCAATGTTGTATTGAGGAAAGTTAGTACAGGCAGCTTTCCGTGAAATTCTCATTACTTTACATTTACTGGCACTAAGGCGCATTTTCCAGACGTCACATCAGTTAGTAATGGAATTAAGGTCAGTTTGAAGAAAAGACGTATCAGTATCAGAATAGATTACACGATAAATGACACAATCATCTGCAAAAAACCTTATGGATGACTGGACATTGTTAACGAGGTCATTCATCTATATGAGGAAAAGAAGGGGGCCGAGGACGGAACCTTGCGGCACACCCGAACTAACAGGGCAGGGAAGAGAGTCTGAGTCGTTTGCAGATACAAACTGTGTTCTGTTAGAGAGAAAATTTTCGATCCACGCAAGAATGTTAGAGTCAATGTTTAGTTGTTTTTTTTTAATTTTAAACAGAGCAGTTCGTGAGGGACTAAATCAAAGGCTTTCGAAAAATCAAAAAAATATGCAGTCGATTGAAAGATTATTGTCTAGCGCAGAGAAAACATCGTTTGTGAAACAAACCAGTTGCGTTTCACATGAGGATGATTTACGAAAACCATGCTCACGATAAGTGACAATGAGTTGGATTCAAGAAAGTTACCTAGATTAGAATAGATGATCTGCTCCAACATTTTACATGGGACACTAGTTAAAGATAGAGGCATGTAATTAAGAGGAGAGTGAGCATCACCTGATTTAAACAAAGGTACCACCTTACCCACCTTCCAATCGCTGGGCAACAAACAAAGATCTAGGGACTGCGAGAAAAGTTTAGATAGTATTACAGAAGAGAGCATTTCAGTATTTTTCAGAAATTTAGAATTAATCTCGTCAGTTCCAGATGAAGAAGTAGGGGCCTCCTTTCCCTCCAGAGACGGACCAATCACTTCATATTTCACCACTCCCACGTGGTACCCTGTTGCCCGATGGTCGGCGAGCTGTCAGCCTGATGCTCCAACCGCCAAATCCAAATTCCTTGTAGAGTCGATCCCTGCAATTTTCTCACTCTGGCTGGCGCCAATAGCTAAGCCATTACATCGCGCAAAAAGTGACAATTTTATACTAATCGGCGAAACCCTCTATATACAGGCACACTCGGTTAAAAGCCGCAAGCAGCTCCAAACACGTGTTCTCCCCGCACCGCCTCTCGAAACCGGAGACGTTTCTTAACGACCGCGGGGAAGCTCTCCCGCCTCGGCCGCGATGCTCCCGCAAAATTCTCCCTCCACAACGCCAACGCCAACATAAAAGGCTAAAAAAAACCACATACAAAAAAAAAAAAAATAACAATGCCGCCGTAACTCTGGAAATTTAAACTCTTCTACCCCCCTACCCCCCCAAAAAAAAACGCACCTTAATTATTAAGCAGGATTTCTACATACTTAACACCTCCCTACGAAGAATGTTGTAACTACGTTGTTCGCGCAACATCTGTCCCCCTTTCCGAGACAGACGCGTAGCATACACACATAAACCCAATAACAAAAAGCTATATCCCGCCAAAAAATAATCTGTTAGGCGACAAAGAAAACCAACAAAAAAACAAACGAACACAGTCCAGTGAGACCCAAACCCGCACGTTCCAGATTCCACCATGACCAGTATTTATATCAAGCAAAGAAAAAAAAGAAACAAAGGAAAAACTGTTGCCGCAGGCAACCAACCACAAAAGCGAACAGAAAAAAGAAAAAAAGAGTTTGCTATACCTAACCTATACCCGAAACCGTTTCTCCACGCCTGGGCGTCCCTGTCGTCTCAAGTGTCTTGCGTGACCGAGGCAAAGGCACTGCTCCTGCACCAAGACACGCGGAGGCCGGTTTGTTCCCGGAGTCCAAGGCTTTAAGCGCTAATCCAGGGCAGTTCTGCTTAAGGTGCCCCAGCCTCCCACACGAAAGGCACCCTTGCGGTCGAGGTTTCTCAACCCTTCGCTGGTCGCCCCCCACTTCCGCAGGCCCACCCCGCATGTTGACCTGTGGCCACTCGGCCGCCTTCTGGGGCTCCCAGTTTCCACCGTGCTGACTGTCTTCGAATTTCTCAGCAAGTTCCGCTGCTTTCTTTGGCTTTGGCCATTGTTTGGTTTCATTCTGAAGGACGTAGGCCGGGACATAATCCGGCATGACATGCTTTAGCCGATCTGAAATGATCAGCTGCCTCAGATCATCTAGTGTCTCTACTTTGCGGCTCTCCATGTAGTACCCGAACATGGTAATTAGATCGGTAGAGAACTGTGCCAATGACTTCTCCTCTTGTTTGCGTGCGACATGAAACCTCCGCTTATACTCATCCGGAGTCGTGCTGAGCTAGTAGGAATATGAAGTGAAAAATAAGTGCCAAAGGAAGGAGGGGAACGACGTTTCGACCAAACGGCCTTCTTCGGGTAAAAGTCGAGATGACAGAACAGAATAAGAATACCATATATACAAAAGGCATAGGTAGCACGTGATAGATGTGAAGTTGTGGAGAAAGAGAGGGAGGAAGAAAAGTCTTCAAGTAGGGTGCGAGGTTTGTGTCACGATCTTTCTCGAACGTGGACGAAGGGTGGGCCGAAGCACCCGCCGAGGAGAGCCGACACGCAGCCTGGTTGTGAGGGTGGACGATGACTGACCGGAGCGCGTGCGCTCAACGGCGTTTATTGATGTGGTGATCAATGTTGCCCGCCGAGCCAGGCGGCTGCAGACGGGCGGACTGGAGGGGGGCGCCACTAACTTGTCACACTCCTCCCCCCAGTTTGTTTTTCCTGAAAACAAAATAACTAAATACACGACGCGCACGGCCGACACCAACTCGGCGTCTGGTCGTGCAAAGTCCTGGCCGGTCGATGATGAAGATCACCCAGGCGAGTAGCGGTCAGGTGGCCTCCGCTGCCGTGCACTCCGCCTGGGCACTGGTGTCGACGGGCCAGGTGTGGCAACGCCGGGCGCTGCCTGACTTGGTTGCGCTCCACCCGGTGGAGCTGCAGTGACCGGATTTGGGAGTGGCACCGGTCCAACTGGTGCCACAGGAGTGTCGACGCTTGTCGCCTCCGGGGTGGATGGCGCTCCGCCGGCCACTACCGGTGCTGTAGTTGGGCCCCCTGCAGGCTGGTCCTCTGAAGCGACGGCCGAGGGTGGAAGCCAGGTCCCGAGGCGAGGCCTGACATGGTCGGCGTGCCGGTGCCAGGTGGTCCCGTCGGGCATGCGGACGAGCAGCGATGAGGCGCTCGCTGGTGAAACCACATGTCCGGCAGACCAGGGTGGGCCAGGACGGAAGTTCCTGGCGTACACCGACGCTCCCGGCTCCGGCAAAGGCCCGGGACGGCACCCTCGGTCAGCAGCCAGCTTCTGCTTCAGCTGCTTTAGGAGCGCCGTGGACCGGAGGTCTGGATGCAAGACGTCCAGGGGGGTCTTGACCATCCGGCCCAGCAGAAGCTCGCAGGGGGCACGGCCAGTGACCTCGTGAGGTGTGGTCCGGTACTGGAATAGTACCCGGGCCACCTGCGTTCGGAAATCCCCGGGCTGGCTCTTCTTGAGCTTGTCCTTGATGGTCTGGACCACTCGCTCGGCCGCACCATTGGAAGCGGGGTGGTACGGCGGAACCAGCATCCGGCGGATTCCATTCCTCTGCAGCCAGTCCAGGTACTCGGCGCTGGCGAAAGCGGGACCATTATCAGACACGATAATGTCCGGCAATCCCTGCGCCGCGAAGACCTGCCGCAGAGCCGCAATGGTCGCGCTTGCCGAGGGACTGGTGACTGGCAGTGCCTCCACCCACTTGGAGAAGGCGTCCACTACCA